CTCAGCCCCCCTGGATATGGGGCAGGGGTCTCGGCTTCTAAACCCCCCAGCCTGTTGCTGAGGCTGCATCCTCCATGCTCCCAGACAGAAACTAAACTCACTCCCCTCCAGCCCTGCCCCCAGCCAGGGCAGCTTCCACCTTCCTTTGTTCCTCTCCATGGGGGTTAGTGGTCAGACAGGTTGAGACCCTCTTTGCATAGTGACTCATCGCTCGGTGGTGCTACAGACAGTGGCCAGTGAGTTAGCAAGTCCCCCCCACTACGTCACACCCTCCTGGTCCCAGGACAGCCCTCGCCACTGGGTGGTACAGGCTGGCCCTGATCCAGCGGCTGGGGCTGTTACCCGGTGGCAGGGTCCTTAGCACCCTCCCTCTGCTCCGAGATGATGGGGCTGGGTTATTGGTGTGGTGGCGAGTTGGGGTTCCCCCTGTCCTGCAGCAAGAACAGACTCCGCCAGCCAGAACGGGGCCGGGGGGGGGGGGGGGGACGAGGGTTGGTCTTGGGTCAGGGCCAGGATGCCTCAGACCCCTTGCGAGGGGGGGCCTGGGCCCCTAGACTCCCAGCCCCCTCCTTAGTCTGTCTCCTTCATGATTCCAGCCAGAACCTGCCCCCCCCCACACACACTCCCTTTGCTCCGTCCCTTCCCCTAAGGGGTAGAACCAGTCCGGTCACTGTCACGGGCCCTCAAGGCGCCCCCGCTGGGCCGTGCTCACAGACGGGGGCCAGTAGGGGTCACCCCCAGCCCAGAGCCCACGCACAGCACCCGGCAAGGTACTGACACTACAGCACACTTGGCACGGAGCTTCTCTGCCAGGCCTCCCCTTAGCCCAATGCACCCCCCTCCCAGCACAATCAAGGCGGCTGCCCCCCTCTCCCAGGCCTGCTTCGCTGGCGGGTGGGGGGGTTGTGTGTTGCCTTGCTCCCTGTCCAGCAGCCGGCTCAGGGGGGTGGCCGTGCCATTGAGACTGGGCCTGCTAGCTCCCCTGCAGCCGGCTGGCGCGGCCTGAGCCCGACAGCTCGCGCCCTGGGCTGGGCATGACAGCCCCGGCCCGGCAGTGGCGGGGGAGGCAGGCTGCAGGCTGACCCGTGTGCTCTCTTCTCTGCCCCAGGCTGATGCGGCAACCAGTTTCCTGAGAGCGGCGAGATCCGGGAACCTGGACAAAGCCTTGGATCACCTGAGCAATGGGGTAGATATTAACACCTGCAACCAGGTAGGTTAAGGCCTCCGCGGTTCTGGCGCCAGCCCCTAAGTCTGACGAAACGGGCCCCTCTTGGAGAGGGGGGCTGCAGGGCGGGGCGGGGCGGGGGCCCGGGCGGGAAGA